GCAAGGTGAAAAAATTGTTCCTTATGTTTTCAAAATAAATGATACTCAGACACTAGAAACTTATCTAAGAAAAGAACAGTTGATAATTAATGAGTATATTGGAAGACAAAAAAGATAACATTTATAAGAAAAAAGTTCGGTTTAGAATAAAAAATCAGAAAAGGATTAGATAGACTGTTTTTTTTATTTATTTTTCGTTACTACTGTGGCAAAATAGTGTAAATGGGTAAGCTGAACCTTCATCTACATCATATCTGGCAATTCAAACTATATTAATATCATAACCATCCATAATTAATTAATTATAAAGAAAAATGATTACATTTGGTAGTTAGATCTGTATCCTACCAAATATGAAGCAGAGATTAAATAAATCAACAATCACAAGAGCCAATTCATTTCATTTATCATTGCTAACTTAGATTATTACTTATTTAATCATATTATTTATTATAATTTCATCACTTTATATATATATATTTATCTTGAATTTTATAATGATTAGTAATTAATTAGCTTGCTCTGATTTTACATGCAATTGGAGCACCATCTCAGATAATTTGATATTTTAAAAGTTGTAAATATTTATATTTTTCCAATATATTGATTGTTTTGTCTTCTCTAACTCTTAATATTATTTTTGTAGGCTTTGGACCTTTCCAGTTCTTCATCAAAGTAGCCAAAAATTTATCACTGTCATCATCAAAATTAACATAGTGCTTAAATTCCAACATTGTTAAATTTATTGGTAATGTTTGAATTAAAGCACTTAGAATTCAGTTGATATTCCATATAGGCTAAAGACTAGTGCCATAAATTATGATGATGGTAGTAATTGTATTTACGGCATATAAAAAGTGGTTGCAATTACCTTTGCAACCACTTTTGTAACCATACTTTTTCCTTTTTTGGATTACAGCACTAGTCTTTAATATAGGCTTGGTTACTTCAATTGTATTAAATTTAATGTATTCTAATTTAATGCAATTATTAAATATTGACTCAATAAATTTTTGACTTATTTGATTATAATAAAAGATTGATAAATATTCTAAGTTTCTACAATGTTGTCCAATTGACATCAACAATTCTTTTAAATACCTTTTCTCACCAGAAACATTTATTTCACCATCAATATCCAGAAATTTAAGAGTGCTCCCATTGATTTTGATGAAGTCAGACAAGTCTAATAGAGATAGCTTACAATCAATTTTTAAATATACAGATTCAATTTGGTAATGAAATGGTTTTTAAAAATCTTAAACTTGTATTGTTAAATAATGATAATCTTAAGATCTTTAAGTTTTGAAATTTTGGTATAAGTGAGTTGTTTGAAACATCTTTCCCATCACTTTATACTCAATTATTGAATTTGAATGAAGTAACAATGCATCTTTAAGATCACCTGATATATATGGCATATTGTTGTATGAATAAAATCCAATTTTCTAATTTGATTTTGTACTCTAATTAGTTGAGCTAGATAAAAAATGATGTTGTGATTATCAGAATAAAACCCTTCATAATCTATTTTTAGAATTGTGATATTTTTACATACACTTGCTAGTTTACTAAGAAGTTTCTTTTTTTCAAAAAATTGATAATCTAATTCATCAAGGTTCTGAAAACATTCATCAAATCTGTGATGTTCAATTGGCCATTCACAATCAAAGCCATTCCTTTTGAACCTTTGTATAAATGGTGCATGATCTAAAATAAATTCAATTAATCTTGTTCCAATTTTTTTTGTATTTAAAGGAGGAGAATCCAAAACATAATTCAGTTGTAAAATTTGCATAGTTGTATAATGGTGGTTTTTCCAACATTTTGTAATTTAATTTAATGTTATTTTTTGTTAAAAATTCTTTATCCACTGCCAAGAAACAATTAATTAATATCTCTGTACTTCCATATGAATAGAATGGGTTCCTCCATAAAATTGAAATATTTATACTGTGCCATTGTTTGTTAATTAAAACACAAGAATATAATGTTTTATAATCATCTTTGAGATATTTAGATATTTCGATTAAAATTCAGGTGGTAATGGTGATAATTTTATTGTTGGTTTCCTAAAAAATGTTGAATAATAAATCAATGATCTTTGATAACAACTAGAATGACAATGTGTTATAATGCATAGTAACCACCACCATTCTTTTAAATAAACTAGAGTAACAACAAGTGGCAGACGATAAACACCACCACCATCCTTAAAACACTTACCCAGCGAAATTGGCTATTTCCTTTCCTTTGCTTCTTTTATTGGGACGGTAAGACATGTTTTTTTTTTAAAGAAGTTTTTTATTTGATCAACACGTACACACTAATTATTTATCCTATTGGTTTTTTTTTTGGTAGGACAGATGCGAATTGATTTTTTTTTCACTTTTTTGGAAAAACAAAAAACAATTTATTTTTTGACAGAGCCCAAGGTGACAAAACGTGAGTGTTGTTGTTTGGTTTGGTTTTGGTCTCTTAAAGAAGACGTGTTAATAACTAACCAGAGGTACTTTTTTTTACTTGTATTGATATTTTTGGTTATTATAAATATTTTAATTGGAATCAAAACATGGAGCAGATCTTGCTGGGTGATTACAAGATTTTCATTGATAATATTTTGCTTTGCGTAATCATAATAATAATGATATTATTACATTATTATAATTACAAGATGTCAAGGCAGTACATCATTGAAAAAGAAACTATTCAAATATGCAATGTTTGATTATTGGAAAATAGCAGGTGTTGAAGCACGTGTGCTACCTTGAACACATTACAGTCATTCACACACTTTCCTCGTGTACACAAGGCTAATCTGACCAAGATTACCCAGATGATATGATATGCTACTGAACTCCAGGGGGGGAACATGGCCCTGGAGTTTATTGAGACTGTATCAATCGTCAATGACACTTTTCACTAATCTTCCCAGACCAGAGATGGCTGCTGCCATGTTGAATGAAAAGTTGCCTGCAACGATCCTACCCCTAGGGTAAGAATGACTCTGTGACCAAGTCGCAACCTTGCTGATGAATATTAAGAGAATCTGCAGCTCGTTTCCAGCACAGGCTGCAAATTTGGGGTGGGGCTGGTTGCCCTGAAATTGCTTTTGGGCTCTGGTGTTAAGAGGAAAGTTGTAAAATAGTGTTTTTTTTTGTAATCATTTTCATAAATGCTCTGTTTCTCTGATACTAACCAATTTAATAATTTTGGGTAGGGGACTGGATTGGGTTTTTGCCCAATCAGTCCTCTGTCCTGTAGGTTAAAATTATCACACGATTATATACATCTTTGTTAGCAATATGGCCAACAAGAAAAAAGCCATAAAAATGTTTTGGATTTTGTTTGGTATGTTATGTTAAAAATTAATCATTTTCATAAATTTTCTGTTTCTCTTTAATTTTTATTTGACCAACTGAACTTGATGTTATTTAAATAAATGGGGGTAGGTTGTTGGTGAGTAGGCATGCCACTGACAAGACAGGAGACGCCTTTGAGATATACCAGCCAAACTCATAGAAAGGGAT